GAAAAATAAAATATATGAAAAAAAAAATAAAAAAATAAAAGAAAAGGAATAAGTTATTCTTGACTGATAAAAACTTGCATAAGTGAAAAACATAATAAAGGAAGAAGAACGGAGAGGCTATAATATATGTGATGGAGGCAGAGAAAGAATAGAAGTACATCCTGTGATTTATTCAAATTAAAGATTTAGATATATATACTTTTGATAGATATAGATTAATAAAAAATATCATTATCTAAATTTCATTATTTAAAGATTTTAAATTTTTAATACGTGACAAATGAAAAGAAAAAATATGAGTAAATAATGTGATTTATTAAAATAAATATTTAAATACATATGTTTTTGATAGATTTTGATTAACAAATCATATCCTTATTTAAATTTATTTATTTCAAATTTTTAAATTTTTGACTTTTTATTATATTAAAAAATTAAAAATTAGGGAAACAAAATAAGGGAGAGTTCAAGAACTACCACATACGAGAGAGAATGTCTCAGATACCAGTATTGACATCTTGAAAATTTTAGAGAGTCCATTACATTTGCTTGAATATATAGCATAGATAGATGATACAAAATATGTTACAAATAGAATTATCGTTTACTACTATAAATAAACGATCATTTTTCATAAAAATGTTAAGAAATGAACATTTACTTTTATTTGTTCCCTTTTTATCTTGTCCTTTTAATTTATTTATATTTTCCTACCTATCAAACCTTTTCAACTGCTCTTTATAAGGAGTGTCGGTGGTTTGATTGCGGCTGGAGAATCTCTAATTTGCAATTCGTTCGTTGGATAGATGGATTGAAAAAAATCAATTCGTATCCGTCCACCAAATTGATGGATGCAGATTGAGCGAATTGGTGGATTGACGAATAGATGCGAATCGGTTTAGCTGTTTAAACTTTTACAAATTTTAAACATAATACAACAACTTATCAACATTTTTTTTTTGAATAATATTCTAACTCAACATAACAAAAAATTTATCATCAAATAACAATAATAAATACATATAAGAAAATTATACATTATCAAAACTATTTTATTACTTTTTTTATTCAAAAACTATTTAATCTGATTTTTTTTTTAAAAAAAATACAAAATTAAGCCTTATATTTTTCACACAAAAATATCAAAGATAAAAATTTGTCACTTGATAAAAGAATTTTCAAATTGGAAACAAATTGAAAATACATAATATTTAAAAAAATTAAAAACACAAAGTCTTACAAATTACTAGGGGTGCTCGCAGTTTGACAGTTCGGTTGTGGCCAAAGAAACCTCAAATCCGCCATCCGTAAAAAACTAGGCGAATTGAAAAAAATCAATCTACAATCATCCGCTCATCATCACGCACCCGTCCAAAATGCAGCGGATCGGTTCGGTTCGATCGATTTGGACGAATCAGAATATCTGGTACTCACTTCTACTCTTTATAGTTGGATATAACCACATTTTTATATGATCGTTTTCATTCACACTCCATATATTTTTATATTTTTATCTGTACTTTAAAGTAACTAATGTATAAAATATACATTTATTTATATTTTTAAGAAAATTAGAAAGATATTTTCAAGTAAACCCCAAACCTCCAAGTTAGAACCATTATAAGACTTCATAACGTAATTAATTGCATGTTATTCAATCTAGCATCATCACATATGTAATTAATACTAGTTGGACCCCCATGCGCTATGTGCGTGAGGTTGTATTCCAATTGGAGTGCTTATTTTCTGTATGTAAACATTGTACTATGTAGTCTGATTGTTTATTGTATTTGATTTATGAAAAATGCATTACAAAAGGAATTACTATTCACCATTATAAGAGAACAATCATTCTATAGAGAGACTAAGGAGTGCCTATTTTATTTCATTCTAACGAACCAAACACTATATAAGTGATTATGACACAAATCCACTAAAGAGCAAAATGATGATGCACTTTCAAATCATCATGCAAAATATACAAAAAAATAGAAACATAAATCTTACGTTAGTGGTATTATTTGAATCTAATCTATCAATGATATTATTTTTTTTCTTTGCTGATCAAATACGAAAAATCAAATCAAACTTAACTTGGAGTGCATTAATAACAATTTGATAAACTCTTTTTCCATTAGGAGTTCGTTTGGGGATAATCTCAATAGGTGTACCTATATGATAATTATATTTATTTGGATCATATCATCTCTTTATGTTTCTGCACATCTTTTCGTAAAAAGTCAAAAAATGCACTAAATAAGCAAACAATCAATTACAAGACTAATGTTTGGTGCTCATATCAAATAAATTTTGATTGGACCTAACTTGATATGTCAAGGTGATCCATATTAGGCATTTCATACAATCCAGTTCAATTTCTTTACCTAGATAATAGGAGGACCAATTGTACCTAGGTGCAGTAGTCCACATAAGCAGTGAAGCTTTCACTTATACATGTTGCAAAGTAAGAAGGATCACCATAAGAAGACTGTTTAAGAATATGAGTGGAATCTTACCACAAAAATATTATCCAAAGATCATGTT